TTAGGGTCTAGGGTTTAGGGAGATTCAACTGTTTAGCTTTTAGAGAAATTCAACTGTTTCGGGTTTGGGGTTTAGAGAGATTCAACTGTTTAGGGTTTAGGGATTAGGGAGATTCAACTGTTTAGGGTTTAGAGAAATTCAACTGTTTAGGGTTTAGGGTTTAGGGAGATTCAACTGTTTAGGGTTTAGGGTTTAGGGAGATTTAACTGTTTCGGGTTTGGGGTTTAGAGACATTCAACTGTTTAGGGTTTAGAGAAATTCAACTGTTTAGGGTTTAGAGAAATTCAACTGTTTAGGGTTTAGGGTTTAGGGAGATTCAACTGTTTAGGGTTTAGGGAGATTTAACTGTTTAGGGTTTCGGGTTTAGGGAGATTCAACTGCTTAGGGCTTAGGGAAATTCAACTGTTTAGGGTTTAGAGAAATTCAACTGTTTAGGGTTTAGGTTTTAGGGAGATTCAACTGTTTAGGGTTTACGGAAATTCAAGGGTTTAGGGTTTAGGGTTTAGGGGGGTTCAACTGTTTAGGGTTTAGGGAAATTCAACTGTTTAGGGTTTAGGGTTTAGGGAGATTTAATTGTTTAAGGTTTAGGGAGATTCAGCTGTTTAGGGTTTACAAAAATTCAACTGGTTTAGGGAGTTATAGGGTTTAGGGAGATTCAACCGTTTAGGGTTTAGGGAAATTCACTAGTTTAAACCCCTAAGCCCCAAACCCTAGATTTTGCTAAACAGCAGCTCTGGCATCCCTCTGCGCCAACTCCATTTCGCCTCGTCGAAGGTGCCATATACCCTCCAAAAGTATTCCCCAAACACCAGCCCCAAGCCCCTAAAGGCCGTAAGCCCTAAACCCTAAACCCCAGGCCCCTAAAGGCCTTCAAGCCTACGTCCTTACAGACAGCGGAAATGCCTTTGGAACAGAACTCTCCCCAGAGGGTCCGTATAAACTACCATTACGGAATTAGGTCCCAAAAGACCATCCCAAATATCGTTTTGGGGACCTAGTTCCATAACAGTAGTATACATGGACCCTCTTGGTAACAAGAGACGAAACGAACCAGGCACAGCATCAACCAACAACAAGCACACACAACTTACATGGCATGAATAGCACACAGACTAAATCCATGAGCACATGTATGTCTGTGTATATATATACATACTCATACGGATATGATATGTTTGAACCTATTCTATGGTCTGATGTGTTTACATGCATACCCGCATGTTTATGTACATGTACGCGTCCTTATTTCAGCCCCTAAGCCCTTTACCCTAAAATCCCTAAACCCTGCTTACCCGAAACCCCGAAGCCCCTAAACCCACTACCCTAAACCAACAACCCTAAACCGGTAAACCCTAAGACCTAAAACCCTCCCTATTTCCATTACTGCGAACCCTAAACCCTAAACCCTAAACCATTAATCATTACTGCGAAGCACGAGGAGCTCCTTGCAGAGTTTGTCTCCCCATCCTTTCAGAAGGCTCTCCACGAGCTAGCCAGGACGGGGTGCGGCTTGTTGTGTGGAGGGTTTCGGATGCCAGGATGTGGGGTTTGGGGGGGGGGTGTCGGATTCAGGATTTAGGGTTTTGGGTTTAGTTTAGGGCGTCTTTTTGCTTTGGGGTCATTTGAGTTTGAGGGTTTAGGGTTTAGGGTTTAGGGTTTAGGGTTTAGGGTTTAGGGGTTTAGGGTTTAGGGGTTTAGGGTTTAGGGTTTAGGGGTTTGTCGGGGCGGGTCGGGGTTTTGTTCAGCTTCTGGCCTGCTTGCCAGTCTATGCGGGTTTGGCTGCCGGTTTGAAGGGTTACGGTTGTGGAATATAATGGTATCTACAGGGTTTCTAAGAGGGATCTATGAAGGAGAGCAGGGGGCTGCTATAAGGTGTTTTATAATAAGAGTTCTGGGCTTCCATGAGGGTTTATTTATGCTTGTTTGAAGGTTTCCATATAGCGGATCGGGTTTAGGGATTTTTGGTGTGGGGTTTCGGGGTTTTAGAAGATTAGCCGTATGGGTTGCGTGTAGGGTTTGGGGTGGGCTTGGTTCGAGCTCGAAATTGATGACTGCCTGGACCCTTAAGAGGTGGGGGGCGGGGTTCCTTATTGTGATTTCCTTGTGTGAGTCCTTAACAGGATAGGTTATTTGGGCCGAAACCGTAGACTTGGTTTGCAGAGTTGGGGTTCTGATGCTTGTGTTCGTCAGATGTCTGGGGGCTCTGTCATTCAGGGTTCATTCGGCACACGCACACAGGGGGCCGTAATATTTATCGTCGCAACCTCATCATATTCTGACCCAGGATTGTTAGACGACAGCAAACCCTCACACATCTACCCTACACCCTCCCTTCCGAGCCCCGCTCCCTTGAACCCCGCGCGAGGCCCCGATCCTAAAGCCCACAATCAACCCTAAACCCTAAACACCAAAAACCCTAAACCCTAAAACCCTAAACCCTAAACTACAATTACATAAACCTAACGCAAATCCTAAACCTTCGCAAGCTTGCACCAACTCCCAAACTATCCACTATGCACCTCCGATCCCATACCGACCGGAAGCTACCGTGAAACCGAAATCCCAAGCTGCAACTCCTCAGAAATCCATCCTTACAACCCGGTGTGTTAAGACCCCCCCAACCCGAAAAAAACCTAAACCCAAAACCCTAAACCCTAAATCGCTGAAACCTAAACCCGAAACCCTAAACTGCCTAAACTCCAAACCCTAAACCGCCTAAACCCGAAACCCCACACCCCAAACCCTAAACCGCCTAAACCCGAAACCCCAAAGCATCCCCGAGGATCCACAACGATCCCAAGGGCTGCAGCCGTGAGTTCGCCTCCGGATTTCGGAAGCTGGTCAGAAACCGGCAGGCCACTTTTGGGGTTTAGGGTTTAGGGTTTAGGGGGTTTAGGGGTTTGGGTTCAGGGTTTAGGGTTCAGGGTTTAGGGTTTAGGGTTTAGGGGGTTAGGGTTAGGGTTTAGGGTTTAGGGTTTAGGGTTTAGGGTTTAGGGGGTTTGGGGTTAGGGTTTAGGGTAGGGTTTAGGGTTTAGGGTTTAGGGGTTTGGGTTTAGGGTTTAGGGGGCTGGTCAGAAAGTGGCAAGCCACTTTGGGGTCTACTCCGGGGGTTAAGGTTTAGGGTTACTGTTTGGAGGTTTAGGGTTTAGGGGTTTAGGGTTCAGGGTTTTACTTGGGTTTCGCCAAGCATGGGCGGTGGTAGTTCGGCTTCGGCTTTTTTTAGGATTTGGGCTGTGTCAGCTGAAGGTGTGGAGTACCAGGTTGTTGGGGTTTGGGTTTAAGATTTGGGGTTCGGGACTTGGGATCTTCGACTTGGGGCTATGGGGTTCAGGAATCGTCGGGGTTTAGGGTTTAGGGTTTAGGGTTTAGGGTTTAGGGTTGGGGTTTTGGGGTGTTAGTTACCTATAGTCTCCATTGTAGTTGTTTTTCTTGGTTAGACCAACTTTACATGTAGGATCCTAAAAATCACAAAGCTCATTATGATATATGGAAATTGTATGAGAAAACGGGAAGGGAACCCCAAAACGGAGTTGTTATGGAGAGTTTAGGTAAATTACGGTTGATGGCGTGGATCCTGCATTACCTTAAGGACCTAAAGTGTGGGAATATTGGTATATTCCTTATTACGGGTATTGCAGGATTAGATTTTTATCATCAACCTTAAGCCCTAAACCCTAAACCCTAAACCCCAAGCCCTACCCTGGAAATGCAGGATTTACCTGAACCCCAAACTACCTACATTTTGAAAGATTTATATGAAGAACCTCAAATGAGGAACCCCAAAAAGGTAGGTTTTCTGGGGTCCAGGTATATCATCAATCGTATCATCTCACCTTTCTGGTTGAATCTAAACCCTTGGAGCCGGGACGCTTGAGACATCTGAGCGCTGAGGGCCAAGCTTGGAGGGTTTAGGGTTGTGGGGTGTAGGGTATAGGGTTTAGGGTAGGGTTGAGGGTTGAAGGGTGTATAGGGTTTAGGGTGTAGGGCTTCAAGTTGAGGGTTTAGCTGAAAGTTGCCTGAATCGGGCAAGCTTTCGGTTGTCTGCTCCAACTTTACATATCGAAGTTGTTCTGTTGCAGCTTCTTCTAGCACGTCGGTTGCAAAGGTGCGACTGATGGTTAAACCATACCATGCACAACGAAAGCTTCGGCAGTTCGGATTGCGGGATTGAGGCCGGGTTTAGGGTTTAGGGTTGCCGTCTCCCGTGGATGTTGCAATGACGGTCTTTGTTGCGATCTCATGTCCAGCATGTGGTCTTGAATCGCAGACTTCGCGGTTCACAACCCAGGTGCTCAGTCACTTCGCGTCTCTAGCAGACTGAAGCGCGCACACGATGTATCCTAAACCTTGAGCCTGAAATCCTACCTAAGCCCTTTAAAGCTTCGGGTGGTGGGGTTGCCTGTTTTTTCGCCATGCCCGAACTCATAGCCTCAAAGCATATTGGCTGCACCCTAAACCCCAAAACCTGATAAACCCTAAAAGCCAGCCTTCGTCTGTGTTCGGAGGCGGCTGGGTGCTTGAAGTTTACTCTCGCGTGTTTGTTGTTGTTTTGGGCTGACTCCGAAACCCTAAACCCTAGGCCCTAAACCCTAAGTCAAGTTTGAGGTTTTCGGCTCGACCCCTTAACCTTAGCACGCTCTGCGTTTTCGATCACATGGTCATCTTGGACACAGACAGAAAGAGGTTTAACGGTGTCGGACTGTATGTCGTGACTAGCCTTATCCTTAAACGCTTGAAGTTAAAGACTAAACCCGAAACCAAGCCGCACACCGAAATGGACCGGAGCTGTAAACATTCAGACATTCCTCCCGGTCGGGTTCAGACCCCACCTAGGTTGTGGAGCTCACAGATGGATCAGGGCTGTATAGGGTTTAGGGTTTACATAGGCAATTTCTAGGGTTTAGGGTGCAGGGTCACGGAGGGCTTTGTGGTTTGGGGAACCACGGGGTTTCTCCCCCAAGCCTGGAGAAAATCTGAGCAAACCCGGTCACGATTCGCAGGTGGAGGTAATTCCGCGCTATGGTTTCGAACCTTCCGAGGAGGGGGTGGAGATGATGCTCAGGACGGCATTCACGCTTTCATTTTAGACTCGGCTTGTCGATCCGAATGCAGCAGGCTAACACCCAGGTGCCGAAGCCCTGAAACCGCATCTTAAACCCTGGAACCCTGCTCGCTCAAAATCCTGAACCCTAGCACTGAGAGCTCTTCGACTCCTACCAAGTGCTGCATGAGGCAGACCTTCTGAGCCAGGGTTTAGGGGATTTCGGGTCTAGACGGTGCTTTTTCAAAGGTGCTAATGATTGTAAGGTTTTAGTGCCTGCTCTATAATCTTAAGCTCTGTGTCCCCGCCTTGTTGGACCCTCTAGACTCTAAACCCTACACCCGTGGCAGAGGAGCTTCACGTTGTTCCATGGCGACCCGGACATCTACATCAACGAGGCTCACTCGCCAGATCCTGTCAGCCTTCGGAGTGTAGAACCCCACAGGGTCCCATGTGCCTTTAGGGTTCCTTTGGGGTTCTTGTCTGGGTCTCATACACATAATAAGGGCTCCTTTAAGGGTTCTATCACCATCACGCATTATCATTGTAATTATGATTACATTGCTTCTTCAATCAGTGGGATGGAGGGTTAAAAACAGTTCCGGACGGTGGCGCCCCACTTTTGCGCAGGGCCCTGGAAGATGTTAAGAGGCGAAGTGGTAGGGCATTTAATATACGGGCAAAAATGAATTACAAACACTAGATTGGGGGTTCCTGAGTATGAACATGGTACAATACTCCTCCTACAGCACAGCATTTGCGAAGCGACACGAGCTTTTCGTGGAAAATCACAAAAGCAGACTTTGAGGGGTCTGTCGACGGCCTCAGGAGGCACCCCACGATGTTTTCCCAAAAGGTAATGTCTGCTTCGATGCTGCTTGCAAGCACGGTGCACGGTCACTCTCTCATTTCACGGAAGGCCGATGTTGCAAGCAAAGTGCGGCCCCCCCCAAGAAACCCTGTTCTAATTATTAAGGCCCCTACATCAGGGCATGTAGGGCTTGGTCTGTTTGGTTGCAGCGCATGTGCGAGTGTGCGGAGGTGGGTTTGTGGGTAGCGTTGCGCTTTCTTTGCGTTTATGGCTGCAGGGTGGTCATACGGGATGGGTGATTGTATGCAGTTTGTTTGCTTTCATTATGACCCTGACTGTCAACCTACTTTTTTGTTTCCGTCGTGCCCTCTGTCATATTTTTCTATTTCTCGGCATTCTAAAAACCTCAGGGTCCATGTACCCAAATAGTATAGACTTTGGCCCCAAAGTACCATACAGGGGCAACATCAAGTAGACTATTTGAGTACATAGACCCTTGAACCCTAAACCCTATAGAACCCTTCCCTTACAAGAACCCTTAAAGAAACCCTAGAGGTACATGGACCCTTAGGCTAATTAGGGCTTTATAGAGATGCTCAACTACTACGTTGAGGTTGCCAGCTCTCACTTCGACTCGTGTCTTAACCGCAGGCCCACAGCGAAGCAACCCCAAGGCGAGGATGGGTCTCATAAGCCAAACGACACCGAATGGTAGGATCCTAATTTAAAGACCTCCAGATAAGGTAGGCCGAACCCTTGTGGATCAAATGGCCCTTCGAGGTAAGGGGCCCTGAACTCTTATGCTGTGACTGACTTGTTGTTTCGAAGGCCCTATGATTCACTCTTAACCCTGGATTATAAGAATCCTCCTAAACAGGTCGCCATCAAAGAGGCGCTCTCTTTGGAGGTGAAAGCCTCCAAGGCCGTTTGCTGCTCTGATCTGGTTCTTCACGTAGAGCTTTACAGTACGCCAGCTTGCAGGCTTTTTCCGTCAGCATCGTAGTATTCTAGCAGCTAGTACATTAATGTAATATTCTAGTCACATCATACTTGTGGCAAAATTTAGAACCACATTATAGTAGCGCAAAGCTTTGTCCGTCAGCCTCGCGTGTTCTCAAGGCTTTCGAGGGGAGCCCAACGTCCTGAGTTCCGCTTCCTGGTGCAGCCATGGGAGTGCCGGGCCTGTCAGAGTGGCTGAAAGCACTCAGCCTGGAAGATCGCAGCTGCGAGGTGATCGCTTGGTGTGAGGAACAGGGCGCTGCTACCTTGACTGAAGTCGCAGAGAATCGGGAGGAGTTAGCGCATGTCTTGGGGGGAATCCCTGAGCTAAAGGACGGCCGAGCCTTAACACTAGCCGAGCTTGTCTCGCTTCGCATCTACAGTCATGATCTGGAGGAGATCCTGATGGCACTCATCTCTGTATTGGACGAGGACCAGCTGCAGCATGTAGAGCTGTCGCTGAAACCGGGACTATCATCTCTTCTGGCACGCTTGGCACTTCGCTCGGGAGGCCGACGGGCTCCACCGGCTTCCTGCGCTCCTGGGCCAGAAGGCAGCGCTGCCAGCGGTTGCCTCGGAGACGCGCGTGCTCCACGCGGGATTGCCGTCACTGCCGAGACGGCATCGCAGCTTCGTCCCGGAGACGAAGTGGTCCTCCACGTGCTCACGGGAGGATGGCAGGGTTGGCATGTCTGTGAAGTCCTTGAGGTGAGAACGCAATCCTTCTACCTGCGCCACCTGGAAGATGGCTTCGAAGAAAATATTCCCTGGGCGCTTCTGGGCGGTGGCTCCTACCACATCGAGCTTCTGGGCCAGGAAGGCCATGTACCTGAGCCCAGCTACTTCAGCAAAGCTTCGCAAGTCGAGGTCACTGCAGCGCCCTACATCAGCAGGCGTGACGCGCGGCTTTTGCGCCTTGCCGAGCGCCGCGTGGGCTCGCAGCGGGGTGCGCGAGGCAATGCTGACGAACTGTGCGAGAGCTGTGGCCGATCCGCCTGGCGCGGCCGTCGCAGCCGCGAGGACGGAGCGCTTTATTGCGACGACTGCTGGGCGGAATGGCCGGACAGCTAAAATTCATAGGGTTCATCCATGCCCCTAGATGCTTCGGGGTTGTAACAGGCCATGATTACTTCGGATACCAACGCCTGTCAGAGGCCCTTCTAGCTGAGATACGTGGAGGATCATGGGACTTAGCAATTATGGTTATAAGTACCTTAATTGGGGTCATAACCAAGAGGGTCCATGTATACTACTGTTATGGAACTAGGTCCCCAAAACGATATTTGGGATGGTCTTTTGGGACCTAATTCCGTAATGGTAGTGTATACGGACCCTCTGGGTAAGTAGTTATCAGTATAGTTACCCTAATAGTAACCTTAATTACTAAGTCCCACGATCCTCCAAGTAGTCTTGGTCAATCCAGCGCAACTGGTCCCGAGCCGTCCATGCCCAGATCCTCCCGAAGCAGGGTTTAGGGTTTAGGGGTTTAGGGTTAGGGTTTAGGGTTTGTTTAGGGTTTAGGTTTTAGGTTTTATGGTTTAGGGTTTAGGGTTTACCGAGACGAGAGCTAAACTCAATGCCCTCAGCCTTGAAACACCAAAGCCTGTGTAGTAACCTTTGTCAGAGCCTGATATTCACTCCGATCCCAAAACACTGCCTCATCGCTAGGACCTGAACCCTATAACCCCCCCAGCTCTAATAAGATAAAGCCTACAGCAAAGCCCTATAATTCCCGAAAACCAAAAACCCCAAACCCAAAGCCCGAAACCCAAAAAGCCTTAAACCCTCAACCCTGTAAGCCCTAAACCCTAAACCCAAAAAGCCCCAAACCCCAAACCCGTATCAACACTAAACCCTACACCCCAACCCGTATCAACACTAAACCCTAAACCCCAAACCCTAAACCCTATAAGCTCTATGAGTCCTAAACTCTATAAACCCTAAACCCCCTTTTTCCTTCCCCAAGAGCTTCGCGAGGCGAATTCGGATACTTGCGTCTGCGCCAAGCCGGCGACGAAGGCCCGGATCAGGGCTTCCTGGGTTCCTTGAATTTTAAGGGTTTAGGGTTGAGGGTTTAGGGTTGAGGGTAGAGGGTTTAGGGTTGAGGGTAGAGGGTTTAGGGTTTATACGCTTTAGGGTTCAGGGTTCCTTTTCAGGGTTCCTACCAGGGAAATTGTAGGGTTCCTTAAAGGGTTCCTGTACGGATTCCTTTCAGGGTTCCTATACGGAGTATTGTAGGGTTTTTTGAAGGGTTCCTTTAGGGTCTAGGGTTTACGGTTCCTAAAAGGGCTATTGTAGGGTTCCTTTAAGGGGTTTCCTGTAATGGTTCACCTGACCATAAGAATTAGCTCAGTAAGGATTCATAAAGGTCACTGGTTTAGGGTTTAGGATCAAGGGTTTTGGTGTTTTGTAGTTTGGTTATACGACGGGTTTAGTCTTCGATGGAAAGTTTAGCACTCTTGCGCGTTCAGGCTTTTGTGCCTCTACGGATTTCGGTGTCAAGGTTCGAAGACCATGCTGATCCCAACTTCGGGTTTAGGGTTTAGGGTTTAGGGTAAGTTAATCATTGCTCCTTGTGTGTGTTGCTGATTTTCCCGCCGAATATCGGCTCCTTAGGCCGTTTCGGGGCAGCATAGTCTTGTTGTTGCCATAATTCATCCGAGCCGGACGAGGAGTCTGCATGTTTAGGTCGTTTAGGGTTTAAGGTTATTGGGTTAGGGTTCAGGGTTTAGGGTTATTGGGTGTAGGGTCGATTGAGGCGTGTTGTACGAGCTTATGAAATACGAAGAAGATAGTCAGGTAAGATGAGCCATGAAGTTGAGGCCGCAAGCAACGCAGGGACGTCTTGAGCCCTTCCCTGAGGGTCCAAAGGACCCAGTAATCAGGTACTTCGGTAGCTGTTATCTAGGTTCATTTTTGGGACGGTATGTGATTACTAGGTACCCTAAACCCTAAACCCACCTTTTCTTTCGAGCAGCAGGCAGAAGGGTGTTAACAAAAAAAACCTACACCCTACACCCTAAACCCTAAACCCGGGTGCTAAAAAAAACCCTAAACCCCAAACCCTGAACCGCGTAGAAGTCCCGATTCCGAAATCCAAGCAGGAGCGAGTGCTTGAGCTTCTCCGAGTACAGCTCCGAGAGTTCAGCAAGGAGCTCGCTGCGGTGCTGTCTTGCCTTGAAGGGTTTAGGGCTTGGGGTTGAGGGTTTAGGTTTTAGGGTTTAGGGTTTAGAATTTAGGATTCAGGGTTTAGGGTTTAGGATTTGGGGTTTAGGGTTTATAGGGTTTAGGGTTTAGGGACCAATACTAACTACCTATACTACACTTGGGTTCCTGGTCATAATTAGAGCATAATATACGCCAAAACTGCCAAAACCCTATTCTAATTATTCAGGCCCCGATGGGTCCAAGTACCTAACAATCATATACCCTCCCAAAATTTCGTCTAGATAACTACTATCCGTAAGCAAAGAACCTAATTAATGGGTCCTTTAAACCCTAAGAGTAGCATTGAATAACAGGGTTTTGGGTTTTGGATTCGGATGTCACACAACGGCCTATAATACATGTTAATACCCCATGAGTAGAGCGCTGTGAAAGCTACATATAGGATCGACGGCCGAAAGGTCGGAACATGTGTTTGTCATCGGTGCAGGGTTTAGCAACTCCGAGGGTTAAGGGTTCAGGGTCTCGGGTTTAATGGGATGTAGGGTTAAGGTCTAGGGTTAGACTTTATACTCATGGACATCCGCGCAGCTACGCGCACTCACCCCTAGCCACACGAGCACATGCGCGAAAGAGGCCTTGGGACATATTGTGGAAATATGAAGTAGAGTTCACATTGGGGATCGTGGGGAGTGTATATAGGGCTTCCTTTGATTTTTGATGGGTGTATGCCTCGAGTTTCTTCATGGATACTAGATGATACTGGTAGGTAGTAGTGAAAACCTTGTTTTTTGCTGGACAGATAGATGCATGGGCATACATGCAGACAGAGATGATCTACTGGTCTTCCCTAACAGGTCCAGGTACCCAAATAGTATATACTTTGGCCTTACAGTAGTCCTATATAGGTACCTTGGGGCCATAGTGTATACTATTTGGGCACATGGATCCTTGCACCCTAAACCCTATAGAACCCTTCAAGGATCCCTTATGGTACCCTTACAAGAACCCCCTAAGGGAAACCTAAAGGTACATGGGACCCTACTCGGTTGCCCTAAACCCAAAACCGTGCACCCTACACCCTAAACCCTAAACCGTATACTACTTGGAGGATCATGGGGCTGAGTAAGTATGGTTATAAGTACCTTAATTGGGGTTATAAGTGGTAAGAAGTATAGTGACCCCAATATAACCTTAGTTACTAAGTCCGATGATCCTTTAAGTAAACCCTGCACCCTACACCCTGAACCCCAAAGCCCAAAACCCCAAAACCCCTAAACCCCCAAAACCACCACCCAGCTATGGTTTCGCTTCCCCCGCAGCAGGCAATCTTTCAGCAGAAGCTCAATGATCTGAAACAAAGCTACGACACTGCGTCAGGAGAGAAGCGCAGTTGCGGTTTAGGATTTGGGATTTAGGGTTTAGGGTTTAGGGTTTGAGGGTTGAGTGCAGCAGGACCGAAGGGCAGTTGCAGTATCGGGTAACGGCAGACCCCTGATGATATCCTCCCTTTTTGGGTTCGAAGGGAACACGGATCCTAAAGCAAAAGCCCTCAGCCCTAAACCCTGAACCCTAAACCCTAAACCCACCCTAAACCCTGAACCTTGAACCCTATACCCAAAACCCTAAACCCTGAAC